ATCTTTATCCTTTACCCTCTATATGACTCGTTATCGATGCTCAATGAATGTAGATAAAACCCTGCCCATAAAACCATCGACCCAACTATTGGACTTTTATTTTGCTTAATATTACCGTTATACCACTTCAGAATCTATCGAATACCCATTCTTGGTCAACCTGTGACAACTGATCGCTAGCTCTGATTTAGGGCAAGTACCTGCTGAATAGAGCGCTTCAGCCAATTCTACATGCACCCTGGGACAGACAGACAGGCTTCCTGCAGACTGCACTCAAACCTAACAAAAGGCTGTTTTGTCGAAAGTGCTAATAGGCGAAAAGTTACGATGAAAAAATTCTTAAAAAATAATTTATTATTCGAAACTTATAGATTCTACTGTTGTACCTTAGAACAGCGAAGTAATACTTCAAGAAATAGGCATTTGCTTTAAACTATAACCAAAGGTTCTTGTTCAAACAAAGTGTATAGCTTGACCAGCAAGCTCGATCTTTAAGACCAGGTTGTGATCTTTGTTGTAAAATCAACTATCTGGATGTTTTCGCTGAATGAAAAGCCCGTTCTTTCTAAAAGAAAACAGCCAATGGACAAGCTATGGCAAGATTATTATACCACGCAAATAGAATATAAACAACAACCGACTGATGAACATTTTATTTTATCACTTTAAGTTACCTGTAAAGCCGAGATTATTCCTAACTCCTTTCCAGTTTATGGGTACTAGCTTATGGCAGTACACGAACCTCTTTAAAGCGATCCTATGATGCCCGACCTATTTACGCTAGGTTGTGCCGACTATCGAACTAGGTCAGAGGTGGCATTTGGGCATGTCTAACTTTGCCCTCTTTAATTGATGCATTGTTTCAATGTTTATTCGAACTTGTTGACACCGTTGTCGCGTTAGGCCCTCGGGCCCATTCAAGCGTCTAATTCAGGTGCTGTCCTAGTTGAAGTAGCTGTTTAAACTGCTATCGTCTGTCATTGCTTCTGCTCTAGAGGATCTGGCCTATTTCCGACGTCAGTATTGTCCTCGTTTGAGAACACGATCAGCCGACGTTATTTCGGTACCCATGTGCTTTGTGTATCTCAGCATTCTTGTATTAGTGCTTGGGTAAACATGGCGTTTGAACTCCTGTGGATACTTAATCAATGGAACTCTAAATACGACAGAACGGTTGTATTTAAAGTTTCATTGGCCGCTCCGATGAAACGTTGTCTTTTATAGATTCATACTGAACAAACAAGACCACCCCTTCCGGCGACAATGTGTATACCGGTCATATTGATAGTCTATTGAGAGTTAATGATGTCGTTCTTGGCCTCTAGAAGGGCCATATTTGTACACTACCAATTTTATTGCCAAGTAGAATTTTACCTGCAAGGACGATGCTGGATAGAGCGGGAAAATTCAACGAGCGGCTCGGAAATTATCGTGGGTCAGTGTTAGTTACATGGATACCTAAATTTATCGCTAAATAGAAATGCGTACAACGTTGTGATACGTTAGATTTTTGAAGGCTTTAGAACTGGTTTAAGAAGCGAGTACGTTACACGCTTCTTTAGTTGTTGTTCCGTGTTTATATTAAATTTGAGTACACCTACAATCGGTTGTTTGCGCCTGTGCTATAGGGAAAGCGGCCACTCTGCTGACCGGAATCAAGCCGTCTCTCCACCGCTTTTACTATAACTTTTTTAGTTTTTCGCTGGCCTCAGACTCAAAAAGTTCGACTACACTTAGTTACACTGTCTGAAAAGTTTACTTATTCGTTAAGAAGTGAAAAAATCTGTTGCCAATTCAGACAGGTTCAATTGTTAATATATACAAGTATAATAATAGTAGTAGCGCATGCGCAATTTGTGTATTCAGTAAGAAGCTTCTAATTTGGAAAATTTCAAAATCTCCTAAATGATACAGTAATCATCTGCGTTGTCACAGAGCTTTATGTACGTGTACCTCCAGCTTTGTATGGCTGATTTTCAGAGTCAGCGTAATTGAATAAATTAAACGATTGCTCTATATAATTTAACTCGCGAAACTTAAAAGTCCGAGATGCTAATGATCAGATAGGTCCTTGGGATAGCGACGTAGATACTACGTAGGTAGATACTGTAGTAAGTTTTCGTGACACCATACATAAAACAGATGAGGTATTGAAAAACCATACATAGACTTCGCTCTCATCATTGATACTTGGTTCGTTCCTCCATGAACACGTATGCCGGGAGGAAGTGAAAAAGAGGTTTTAAGGTAGTAATTTCATGACGTAATTTTTATAGTGCACTCAGTTATTCAAACATTCTTCATGGTTGTAATAACATTATTCATTCGTCATTTTCTCTCCATACTGTGTACAATAACAATACACGTATTGTTGTTGTTTTTGTTGCTGCTGCTGCTGTTGTTGTTGTTGTTGTTGTTTGCGATATTGTTTTTATTGCTGCTATTTGTAATCATCTAAAACCCATTTGGACGGTTTGTCGTTGCTGATTTTGCTGTTACCGTACCCGCGCTTCGTCTCATGTCGATAGCGGGTAGGACGTCACCTTTCACCTCGCCATGTCCATCGGCTTCATCATCGAACTCGGATCCGGATCGTTCGTCAGTTCCCTCGCTTAATGGCCAACCAGCGGTCGGAGATCTCTGGCAAGACACGAGTACTCTAATGGCGAATCATCCGACAGCATAGGATAGGGTAGTTGGATAGAACAAACTATTTTTGACGTTACCTCCGGATCCCGTTAATGTGACGCACTCTGGCCGATTTCTTGTGAAAATACTCTAGTAAAATGGGCGTGCCTTCTTAACAACAAAGCGTCGAATTTACCTGAATTGAATCCGAAGAGCTGTCACTGTCTAAGGCGCTTGCCAACGCAGAAGAGACTTGTAGCATATCGAGAATGGCGATGCAACATAATGTTATACGACTCAGTGTAAAGTTTCTCCTTTTCAACATATTGAATGCGGTAAACAAATAAGATGGCGATACAAACCATTATTCTCGAGGTAATATGGTGTTCTAACGAACACATGTTTCTGATAAAGGACTTTTTTAACTGCTTATGCAATTTAGCGAGGTTGTTCTCACGATCTTACGAGGTAAATACTTGTTAAGGTTGGGACGACGCAGCGTCTACGCAAGAGAAGCTTTGTCTATTTTGTGAATTCGGTTCAGGCCAAACTCAATCGAGGCGCTTAACAGGGCAGTGGGCGGCTCGATAAATATCGATTGATAATAACACGTTTAACTCTCCGGCCCTTCGATTTTCGAATATATGACGCATCCTTCGCACACAGTTGGTATGGTTTACGTTAGCATTTGAAAATTACATTTAACGCAACTTGGTTACCTCAATCTATGTGGTAATGTTTACTAGCAAATATGCGTCACGCAGAGTGAGCACCTTCAATTTTTAGATAGTTAACCGAAAAATCGGGCATTGCCTCTGTGTTAACCATATCAACGTCTTCAACACTTCTAGAAGCTTGTCCTACTGTCGGCACCTCATTTCAGCGTGAAGCTATTCGTCATCGCCGGTGATTTCCAGTCACCGGTCTATCTTGGTAGTTTTCAATGAGTACGTTTACTCCGTGTAAGCGTTTCCAATCCATGTTCCTTTAAATTACCTTTTTTTGCCCCACATAATCAGAACTTCTTCACCTACCGGTGTTAGTGTGTGTTCGTGAACAACTGCTGTTGTATTTGAGTACTTAGCAAGAACTTACGAGATCATTTTCGTGTAATAACCTTAGCTATGGGCGCGTATTTACTTCTATTCATGTAAAGTGAGATCAAGGTTTTGGTCAGCACTTTGTACTGGATAAGTACCGAAAAAATCACGCAGGAGAAATAATTAGGAATATATGCTTCCACGACGGCTATCGACGAGTGCTTCCTTGTGCCCATAAAATTTCCATTGAAAGAGTTAACTTCATGAACGAGCACGCATTGGAGGTGTTTCATCTATTATAGGTCTCCATGAGAATATAAAAATAATTTCATGCGAAGTGAGCTGCAGAGGCAAATGATTGTCAGGTAAACATTGAAATCAACGTTAAAGTTACTAGCCTACACCTGCTAGAGTGCTTAAGCTCTTAAAAGCTGTCTGCGATGTATCTTCAATCTACTTGCACGAAAAGAGTTATCTAGGCCTTCTAGCTAGAATATAGTCTGTGCACGTCAAATTGGAAAACCCATAGCTCTACTCAAGGTCTAGCCACATATTCATGTCCACCGATCCCAACTTGTTTGCCAGTGACCAGTATGTATTCTATGGAAAGCCCGTTCTATACTCTAACAGGAGATTATTAACATTCAATCTCGGGTCCCATCTTTGAAATAAGTGCACAATTCTTCAACATTTGGGAAAAGTGAAACTTTTTATAAGATTATATGAAAATTGTACGGCTGTAAAGAGGCTGTAAACAGCTGTAACAGATTGAAACTGATTGGGGCATTCAAATCAAATCAAAATGTTAGAAATGATATATCGCAGCCGTGCCCGTATTTCTATCAACTCATTCTACCATTTTTTTCCAGAATCTATTTTGAATTGTTTTCTTATTTTGTTTTAACACTTTTCTGTCAATTTCGATTCCTAGACTATATTCTCCGTTTATATTTACTGTATGCTCTTATTTTTTGGCAAATTACAAAATTGTGGCATTTCAAGCAACAATATCTAAACAACAAGATCCGAATTGGCCCACACGAATTGGATTTTGTATTTATAATTGATTAGCAAGATTTTTTTAGTACAAGCAAAGAGCTTTAACAGGTCGGAAATGAATTAGTCGGCATAAACCAAGGCAGGTATATATATAATCGATGAATCCCGCTTTTTGCAGTTCCTCATCATCCAGAGTCGGACCTCTCTACTCCAACTAACTCCGTTGTAGTCGTCCTTATTCCAGGCATATATTCTCCTATAGCAGCTCTCGATTCGGCCTGAAATTTCGTCTATTTTTCTAATCCATGTTGATTCGTTGAATTTTTCCCTTAGCGCCACGTGACAACAATAATGCTCGTGATCTACGCGTAGAGTATGACGCAAACGTAGAGTTTGAAGCTTCTCCTCCTAACTACTGCGAATCGACAGAAGCAGAATTTAAAGAAGGTGCCGTGCGCGTGATATCTTATTCAGCTTTAGAAAAAAAGAACGCCTTGGACCACATCTTAACTAATGAAGTCGATATTCCACCATCGAAATCACCAGTTTCTGTAGCAAGATTATAAAATGATAATATTGATGTTGTTAATAGTCGACGACAAAGCTAATCTTCACTGAAGCGGCTAATCAATGGACATGAAGGCAGCTATATCGCATTAGTCAAAAAAAAGGTTTGAATTCATTTAACTGACTCTATAATGATGTTCTTATATTAGGTATTTTCAGTGAGGTATCTAATAAGTTGGTTGTTAAAAATTAAGGTCAAAAAAAAGACGAAAGTTGTCTGTCTATTTACGTGTTTTCTTTTATGTTTCAGTATAAATGTACGTTGAACTGTGGGCAAGTGATTTACCACTGTAAGATCGCATAGACGCATGGCAAATGTTGCAAAACCAATTATCACACCACAAGCCATGGAGAGCTGGTTCACCCGAGAATTTTGGTGGAGCTCTTTTATTTTTCTTCTATTCTAACCTGACATGATTTACGCCTCTATGAAATCATCCAGATATCGCTGGTCTATAACTGATACCGAGTGATTCCACATGGGTCTCGTTCCGTGTGCGGAACAGCCAAGAGGAAAGCTTCAGCGCTATCTGTGCTCACCTCATGAGAACAAAGATAGCGCAATAGAAGGTTGATTGTGGCCAAATGTGTACGCCGAAAGCAACCCCACTTGTTGCAGTGACGGGCGTGGATGTGCGTGCGTGCGTGCGTGCCTGTATGTACATTAATTAAATTAATGTTATTAATGTCATTATAATACTTGGTTTTTATTGCTGTATTAGTAATTAACAATGTATTAATAATGATGAAGATAATGAAGTGGCAGCAAGAACGAACTTAAACTAACAGGTGATTTAACTTAAGGGTCAGCCATGCTGGTGGTCGGATGATTATAAAAAATTGATTAAAAGAAGAGAGCGAACCGAAGACATGTTTTAACATGCATAGATGTCGAATATGGTTTCGATGACGGATTTTAATAAATACATGAAGAGATGAATTGCTATAAGTTTTTTTTTATTTGTGTCCGTGTTTTCCGTTAGATAGCTTAGTAAATAGATGGAAGCGATCTATAGTACGAACTTATAAAGAAATATTATGCAAGTCAACAAGAAACTGCTTTCCCGTGCAACGGTGCAAAGTTACGCGATTGCGTATTAATTGCCTATAACAACGTAGCGAAACTATTTCATAGACTTGGTTTCAATTTTTTTTATAATAAAAGTAGATCTATTGTATTCGTTTGGTACGAGACCATAGGTTGATTAAACTTGTTATAAACTCAATGTTACGTACGGTCTGGCGGTTTTTTTAAACGGCGATTCTAAAGTCTTTCTCCGCTTTGTGTGCCTTTTTCCCGATGACAGATTTATTGGCTCTTGCGTTAATATCGTTACAGATACGAAGCATAAGTGCTTTTTGGACTAGAAGATAACAACTCTAGGAATATATGTTATTGTACGAACTGAGAACACAAGCAAAGTCGGACATACACAGCTATTTTATACAATAAGCTAAGAATAATTTCTCCTACTGGAAGTCTACGATTTTAGACCTACGCGTCTAATACAAGCAGGTGTAATTTAGAACTTTGATCAGGAACTACTTACTTGTAGTTACACACGCCTGGTAGGAGCTGTGGATAGTAAACTGGTTGGGTAACTATGACGTAAGTTATGAGAGTGATACGGGATCGAAAATGTGGTCGCCTTTGAACAGTGCGGGTGCGACAGTCTCGACAGTACAGATAAAACGTAAAAACGTTGTTGTTCATGGGTAAGCGCTCTAAGTAATAAACAGCTCACTGCTCATATAAGACTAATTCTTCGACATGCTGAAGTGTTTTTTTTTAATATATACATATACATATGGCGCGAAACGGAAACAAGGGGACGGAGATTATGAATACCTAATAAATTAGATGTGTGTCCAACGAAAGCGTATTGTAAACGGGCGACAGTGACCAGTCTACAGACAAATTAAGATTATTTCCTTATCTAATTCATAATAGACTGATTGACAAAATTTTATCTATCGAATCTTAGACATAAATTATTCTGGACACTGAACCTCCAGGTATCCTCAATATAAGCGCCACTTTTAAACCTTGTTCCCATTGGGAGCAAATTCGTCTATTATGCAGCACTTGAGCAAGTGTATAAACCGCCTCGAATGCTCCGTTAATATGCGGTTTTAGCTGGCAATACTCATGCGCGCACTGTTTCAACGGCTGCGCGTTCTGTGACTGTCCGCTGATGTTGACTTGCATAACTCTGACGCCGCGTTAGCAGCCGGCTGTACCGTGGTCATACAGCCGACGTAACAGACCCTACTATATTTAGTCCAACCGTCGAAAAATGCCAATACTTTCAACACCGTTCTGGGTTAACAGTCCAAAAGAACCGGTGTCACTCAAACCGACGATGAATATTGATAGGATATCGTCTGCTAGATCGACAACGATTGGTGAAGGAAGCTGCCAGCAGGTTAAACTGCAAACAAACCACCTTTAAAAAATCCCGCGTAATATCGCTAAATATGCCGATATCGATCTGGTGGTTGAGATTAGCCACGGCGCTACGATGAGTCACGTTGGTAAATGTTGTATTATTAGTAGTCGCGCTTTCGTTCACGAGAAAATTTACGACGTCTTCCGCCACAAGGCTGCCGGAATTGCGGCAGACTGCACACGTGATAATTTGTATAAATCCTCTAATATGGGTCCACTCGTCGATGAAGAGCGAATGAATAAAGTATTAAAGATATTCGGATACACCAAACAGAAGGGGGCTCATTTGCTCTATGGCGGGAAGCGGGCTCTTAATGCAAGCAAACAATTTGCTGAGTTTACCGTATATGCCAATGTTACGGACGATGTGCTTAATGCTAAAGAGAAGATCCTTGGTTCAATTCAAAAAATACGAGGCGATCAGACAACACGATTGACGGCGGGTGTTAACAGCAAAGACGTCAATATAGTACAGAAACTTGTTAGAGATTCGTACAGGTGTCGTATGGATTAAATATTTAAATGCCTGTCTGTGGCGCCCAAACATCCGACATCAATCGTCGTAAAAAGGGTCGGCTGCGTTATTACGAGCTCAAAACTGTTATGTTAAAATTTCCATGTGCGGAAAACCCTAATTTATTTTGAATGTGTTTAAATTATTTTTTATATAATATTTTCACATATGCGTGAATTTTGTTTATGCAATATGTCACTTTGTAACATTTGCCAGCTATCAAAAGAGATGCCTGCAATGACGTATTGCCAACTTGTTTGAATGTATTGAAAAATGTGTGGGGCTATACTCAATAACTTGTTGATTGATTAAAAAAACAACAGGAGGGACATGGACGACACGTTTTCGCAGTTTGAAATATAACTGGCAATAGTAAGAAATTAATTGGGACCTTATTAGGCCCAATGATGTTAGTAAATAACTCTTAACTTTATTAAATTTCGTCTAAAAAGCCGTTGTTTCAAATAGACGATTTTTACAAACCTAAAATTTTCTTGTCCGAATCAGCCGTCTATGAATGAAATACTCTTTATACCGGAAGCTGCGCCATAATGTAATTTGAGTTTTTCTTTTAGGTCAGAATTTAGCTCTCTTAAATTTTTACATTCTTTTTTTTTGCAACTTTTTACAACTTTTGCAAGGATAGGTAATATTACCAAATCGGGGTACGAATGTTGTGCCTTAATGAATACGCGAAGAGTATGAACAAACCGCTAACGCAGTGTGATGCCATCATGTGCAGTCGTCATGGATCAGCAAGGATCATGTGCAATTTTACCCGAGTGCAACTCCATTCAATCAGATTTAGTCTTGTACTGCCTGCACCGTGTTATACCACAAATCTCTATCAGGTTAAAGAACAAATAATGCGTACAATAATACATACACACTTCTAATGTAGCTCTTAGCCGTTGCCCAAGAAGCCAGATGTTAAGAATTGCCCTTGTGCCTTAAGGCCTAATGCAAAAAATGTATTCCTTTATCAGTCGGCTGGCTACTCAGTTCAGATTTCTTCGATAAGCTTTGTCATGGACCAATTTAAAAATTGATGTGAAAACTGACTATTTAGGACGATCCTTCGGTTGTGTCCTATCCTCGGTTTCATATCTTGGGTTGTGGTATCCACACCCTGTATTATTGAAGTGAATGAAATTAGTTCAAAGTACGCTATCGTGTTCCTGCTACGCAAGCTTCAAACGTGAATGGTTGGCCTGAGAATGAATGGTTAATGTCTGACAGGTATAGTTAAATGATATTGATGTTTAGGAAAACACTTCTGTGTGTATAGTATTTGGCGTGTTCATCGACCCATGGTGCTGCTGTAGTGTTTCAGCTGAATCGAGAGTTCGCTTGCAAAACCGGTTCCACTAAATGAGCATGCTCCTAGAAAAACGAGGCTGATATTCATAGAGATTAAGCACTGGAATCACTGAATGAGTGCAAAACCAAAGCTAGCAAACATAGTTTTCACAATTTGTAAAAAATACCATACGATCACCCCGGTCAATGCTATTATACACGATGTCGTCTGGAGAATCTGCATGCATGCATGCATGCATGCATGCACGTACTCGGGCTTTAAAAATCAAGCAGACTTACATTGCTCTTTGGAATTTCGCGTGTCACCCCAGTTGACGATCATGGTGATTATCATATCTCACAGCGACCTCTCTAGAACCGAATTTACGTTAGCCGGTTGCCCGGTTCCTAGAGTATAACAGCACATAAATTCGGATCTACAGGGTAAATGTGATCAAGATGGTGTGGCTGGGCCAGTTTACCACTCGCACGGCAGAGTAGAGTGAAGACACTGAAGCTGGTAAAGACACCTGGTGAAGAGTTAAGAGAGAAAGCTCTTGTTAATTTACGAAGACGGCCAACATTTTTTTTGTAGCTTTAAACACCGTCTCCTTTTTTAGGACATTCAAAAGAAGACAGGTGTCTCCTATTAATCAGCTCGTGTTGAATCAACATCAGTGAATAACTCTGTAGGTAGCCGTAAGCCGACGAAGCGCACCACAATATGAGCAAATCCAGTGTTATGGCTGAAGTAGAATTAATCTGGCCTAGACTAATAAAGTCCTTGGTGCATAGTTCAACGCGTTAAAAAACCGAAAAGTACCTGAATATTTTTGCCTTCAGCAGATTGTTAGATAAACTTACGCCTTGAAATTGAGTACTGTTAACGGTGGCGATGTTCAATCTGTTCATGATATCAAAAATAAGATAGAATACTCGTATGAATGAGAGCTTCTTGCCAATGATATATGACAGCATCGCCATCTCTTGTCTCCACGTGTGTTAATACTAATAATAAACATGTGTTTCTACGTCAGAAATCTTAGTACTGCCGGCTAACTACCGGCAGCCTGATACCTACGCAGTAGGTGGGTCACATATTCAGTTCTCTGAGTAGGCGTGTGGGCAATCGAACAAAGGTTGCTTATCGTCGTCATATGGCTTCCAAGCTTGGCAAAGCGTAGGCAATTCCAAGGCAGGTATTCATTAAAAGCCATCTCATGGCAATGCGCTGACATATACTGCGTAACAGCGGAGTAGTACTTAGATAGCATCAGCTGCACAGAAGCAATACCAACAAGGACATTTGACAGAAACTTTACAAGCTCTATTACTTGAGCTTCCTTAGAAGTCCTCGAGGTCGAAGCAACACAAGACTATACCTATCAATACAAACGTATAACAAACAGTTACTGAGCAAGATGAAACAGATGCTCTGGAGAGCCGTCCGTGCGCCGGTCCCGCGTGGACAGGATTTTGAGTCGGCAGGAAAACAGCACCAAAGATCAACTGAAGGACAATAAGGACAGCATGACGACCGCATGCGGTCTCAGGGTGAACTCAAATGGCATACTTCGACTAAGCCATGAAGCATTTATAGCAAATGAAGTACATCCCCGCCCCTCATCTTTGAACAATCCCCTGAAAGTAAGATAGCGCCCGGGATAGCAATGTTAATGGACATTTAAGATCAATACC